TACTGGTGGTTGACACCTCAGCAAGTATCGAGATCCATACTTGCTCCATCTCTGAATTGAAATCGGGAGCTACTGCGGTTGGAGAATGCGTCAGAGATCGCTTCTTGGCAACATTCCGAGGGGTTTTTATATGTGAAACGGAGCCGAACAGATCCTCGTCACTTGGGGCACGGGAAGTATCTTCTGGTGTGTTGTCTATCTTCTGATGCCGTACTTCCTCTTCTACATTCAGTATTTGGTCTTCAAAAGATGACCATGATCCTATGCTCTCGGCTTTCTCAAAGGTGTCCATTAATATAGCATCCCCTTCGTCATCCTCCTTTTCGCTAGTACCCCCACCCTCGGCACTACATGAAGCTTCCCAAGAGGATTCCAGTGCCAGAACCTCTGCTAGGTCATCTTTTCCTACTTGGTCCTCGGAAAGCTCCTCTTCGAGACAACTGGCTGACGCCTGATTGTTACATAACCGCCCATACTCGAATCCTATCAGAGGCAGGGATGCGCAGTCTGGCGGGGCTAGAGTATAATCGGGGAACTTGTTAGGATCTAGAGCACCACTCGCGATGAAGAGCTCAATGTCTCTGGGAGTAACCGACACCGGTGGCACCTTCATATTCAAAGCGAGCTGCCGCCGTCGGTTATAAGACGAGATAAGCCACGAAAGTCGACAGTCATACACCGTTGCAGCTAGTGCATTCATCGGCCCGAACGCCTTCGCCATCACACTGTGAATGGATTCCACACGCAATGTACCTGAGCACCAACTTCTTTGGGTCATTGTTCGAGACTCGATCTTCGAGTCATATCACCCCTTAAAGAGCGATACTCGCTCAACTCTACTGGATCATTTTTGTAGTTTATACTGCCTATCTTTCGATAAGGAGGATCATCAAGGTTATCCTCGCAACACCTGTTCCTGAGGTGTATGATTTGCCTCTGTGCTACCTTCAGCAGCCGTTTTGTGATGATGGGGGTTGTAGCTTCTGCCTTGGAGTACGATATGGGTTGCCCAGTGCGTTGAGCATTCTCCAGAGCGACAGCATCAGCTTTTTGGTAGGAGGCGATAACGTGCTTAACGCGCTCGGCAGTCTCGACACCATCACCTATAACCCTCCGAATAAATCGACAGCGATCCACGCGTGAGATTGGAGTAGTATCCCATCACGGGATACTCCATCTCATATAATCGGGCAAGACGGGAACTTCAAAGGTGACCACTCTTCTTTACTTGTCATGTCAATACCTACGGCGTAGCATTGCAGACATAAGCTTGACAAGTGGGATTCATATAGCCTATGCGGCCTGCGAGGATCGAACTCGCGACCTTAGGATTATGAGACCTACGCGCTACCTACTGCGCCAAAGCCGCTTAAATGAAGAATACTCAGACCTTGACGGGAGCACCTGTATCCCAAATTTTGGAGATAGTTGGGCGTCACGCTTCCCTACGGCCACGGGAGTGAGAGTAGCGCAGCAAGGGTGTTGTTGTGCAACTGCACAACAATGGAGCCTTAAGCTCAGCTCGATGCTAGTACTGCTATTAATGTACTAAGTTAAGATTAGATTTCCAGATTCTTGCCTCACTTTGGTTCCTTGAGTTCCCTGATGGTTAACATGGTGGAGAACCCTCCTGCATCTACCCCTACGCCTGTTTCTCAACAAATTGCATCTGCTTTTGGTGTTAGTACTGAGAATATCAGTATTTTACGACATATTACGAACGACGAGTTTAATATGAAGACCGACGAACTTCAACAACAACAAGAACTTGGCTTTGCTACTGTACTTGCTTGGCGTGATTACATGGAGGGTATTAAGAACCCCCCATCGCAATCGACTGTACCTTCCTTGTCTGCTTCCTCAGGGCACTCAGACGAAGATCCAGAACTAGTGACGGCACGCATCGTGGAGACGGTTACTAAATTACCTGTGCCGGACGGAGAATGTTATAATGGTTATCAAGACCGACGTAGTATTAGCTGGTACCTGAAGGAAATTCAGGGTACTGTTAGATTGTATCAACTTTCGGCTCGAGCAGAGTGGTTGTTCCTTACCAATGCCTTTAAACCCCATGCTAGGTCGGCTTTGCTTAAAGAGGTCGAACGCGATTGCGGTCCTCAGGTCTGGATGTATGATTTTGGTGAAATGGTGGCTGCTGCTCATGATTATTTATCGACGAAATATCGCCGCTCTGATGATCCAAGTCGTTATGAAGGTCGCATTATTAATATTAAACAACGTAATGGTGAGAGTGTGTTCGCTTATCTTGATAGATCGAGCGATTTGGTATCTCAAGGTCTTAACTGTGGTCTACAACTTTCTGAAGAACAAATATGTAATGCTTATCGTCGTGGTCTACTATCCAAGTTGCGCAAGACTGCAAATGTTCAGTTCTCGACATTGACCAGAGCGTCTAAACTTGCGAGTGAGTTAAGTCGGTTTGCTGAACTTAACCCGTGGGTGTTGGATTCTAACACATCGGATAAGTTCAACTCTGCTCAGGTCACTACTGCTAATAACAGCTCCACTAATGCCACTGATACTCCTAAGTATGTAACTGAAATGTAACTGATGAATTTAACTATATGCGAAGTAATAAATATTGAATTGCTTATGCTAAAGGTTCTTGTCCAAGGCCGAATTGTAGGTTTACTCATGCCTCAATTGATGGAATTCGTGAGAAGCTGAAGTTGTCGACACCGTCTACTAATAAACCCCCCTGCAAAATAATGGAACATACCGTATTTTCTCGATTATTCCTTCAATATTGCGTGTTGGATCATGATTTCTGTAAGTTTAGTGACTATAATATGCGAAATAGAGTAGTCATACCAGTGACGTGGAGGGAGAAACACACTTCTTGCGGATCCTCGATGCGACTGTTCATCCGCCCAACGTGTCAGAACGGTCTTAGCGTGGATCTGTAACATGTGTATGGGAGCACAACCAGGTTTGTGCACACGTACACTGAAAGAGCACGCGAGCGTCAACGGGGCGTTGAGAATGAAGATGGAGCATGATATGTTAAGCATAAGATGAAAGCGAGGAAGGAAGCGGTTTCTCGCTCGCCCTATCAACTTTTCTGAAACCGTCGAAAAATTGCGCGCAGCAAAATTATAGAACATTTGGCCTTTTCGTCGATTTCTTGAGTGATAGTCACCTCTTCACGCTCGTTTTGTTACTTTTCAACGTGAAATACTATGGTCTAAATGAAACGACGTATCTCCCTCAGTTTGGCTTTATAACGTCACATAATTGGGCAATCTTCTAGGAGGAACTGTTCGTGAGAAAATTGACGTGTTCTCACCCAACTAGATCTCAAGTACGAGTCTGAGCACTCCCGGTTAAGCACCGGAGTTATTGTGAAGGAGTTATCGTATGAGCGCGGTTGTAATTATGGTCTTTGTGATCAATTGCCGCCTTCTTGAGAACATCAGCCCCGATTTGGTCTACTCAGTGCGACCCTCTATCGTTACACCGGGAATATACGGATGCATTTTCACAAGCGCTAAGCTCAGCGCCTTACATTGGTAACAATATCGAGTCGTAACTCGCTTTGGTTGTAGAAAAATGCACCTTTTCATCAGCGCGTCGAGAATCTGCACGCAAACACACTGTGGCGCGCCCGCTTATGGGCCGCGCGCCGCCTTTTCATAATACTATCAATGATGTGGCTTATCTAACTAAATATGAAGCTTGAATTGATAACTAAATATAATATCCTATCGAATGTCTTGGGAACTGGTGTCGCAAATGAACTGGTCTACACGTAGCATCACTAACTATCTCCGCCGTCGGTGGCGATTACCATTGAAGTTGATGTTCCGACACGATACGTCTCGTTAAACTCGCTCATGTCTGTTCATGCAGGTGGCGAAAGGCCGCTAGCACACCGCTTCGTTACAGAAAGTTTTTCCTAAGTCACCATTTGTGTGTCTTTGACGCTTTCTTAGGACATACTATCAGTGCTCTAATTTAGTTCTCAAATAAGATTGATGCCACTTAGGATGGCATAGTGTTCTAGACAGAGAACTTACTAGTGTGAGAGCCAAATTTACCGCAATCCCGTGGCAATTTCCCTTGGTTTTTGTGCAAAAAATGGATGTTCTATAATTTTGCTGCGCGCAATTTTTCGACGGTTTCAGAAAAGTTGATAGGGCGAGCGAGAAACACGTCACTGGTATGACTACTCTATTTCTATATTATAGTCACTAAACTTACAAAAAATCATGATCCAACACGCAATATTGAAGGAATAATCGAGAAAATACGGTATGTTCCATTATTTTGCAGGGGG